TTTCGGGTTTGAGGTTTGGGGTTTGGTGTTTAGAGTTTGGGGCTTCGGGCTTCGGGCTTGGAGTTTGGGGCTTCGGGTTTGGGGTTTGGGGTTTGGGGCTTGGTGTTTAGAGTTTGCGGCTTCGGGTTTGGGGTTTGGGGTTTAGAGTTTCGGGTTTGGGGTTTGGGGTTTCGAGTTTGGGGCGTTGGGGTTTGGGGCTTAGACTTTGAAGTTTGGGGCGTTGGGGCTTCGGGCTGAGAGTTTGGACTTTGGGGTTTGGGGTTTGGGGTTTAGAGTTTGGGGTTTGGGGTTTGGAGTTTGGGTTTTGGGGTTTGGGGCGTTGGGGTTTGGGGTTGAGAGTTTGGGGCTTCGGGTGTGGGGCTTGAGGTTTGGAGTTTGGGGTTTGGGGCGTTGGGGTTTGGGGCTTAGAGTTTGGGGCTTGGGGTTTGGGGTTTGGGGCGTTGGGGTTCAGAGTTTAGGGTTTAGGGTTTCGAGCTTCGGGTTTAAAGTTTAGGGTTTAGGGTTTGGGGCTTCGGGTTTAAAGTTTAGGGTTTAGGGTTTAGAATTTAAAGTTTAGGGTTTGGGGCTTCGGGTTGAGCGTTTAGGGTTTACGGTTTAGGGCTTCGGGTTTGGTGCTTCGGGTTTAGAATTTAGGGTTTAGGGTTTGGACCTCAGGTTTTGGTATTTGGGTTTAGGGTTGCGTGTGCCTCGCGTGTCGCGGCTTGTGGCCTACTGGCCCACCACTGCTTCAGAAGTTGGGGCTTAAGATTCAGGGTTTAGGGTTTTCTTTTAAGGGCGCTTTTGCGTCTGCTCACGTCTGAGCTCAAGAATCCTCTTGGAGGAGAGCTGTCACCGAAACCGCACTTATTGCAACGTCTCGGTTTACGAAAACCCAACATCTACTCAGTGTACTCACCTCCCCCTCATTCCCTTCATTCACTCATCGTCTGTTGTGATTCCATCAAGTGCCCTATCAATCATCTCGTCCATCCCTGCCTCAAGAAGCTCTTGCACGAAGTCCGGGCCAACCATGATCCCTCCGTGCAACAGCATCTGTTCCGAGTCCTGTGCACCAGTAGCAGCCGTAGAGGTCTCCGTGGTTGTGGTAGAGGTAGTGCACTTTCACCACCATCGAGAAGAAGCTGCGTCTCCATGAGCTCCAACAAGTCCGTACCCCACGTAGAGACAATCTCCGCATTCGTGATGTCTCCATCCCGCCAACGCCGGTACAGCTTCCCATAATCCGGGAAATCCAAGCCTTTGAGGCCGTCTGTGTTCCCAGGCATCCCAGTTCCCGCCGTAAAGACATTTGTCGCCTGAGTGGGTGCCACATCGGCACCCACCTGTTGCGGATCCATGAATCCAGCCTGCTGGACTTGTTGCCGTTCATGTTCATCATGGGACGTCCATTGCATGTCTTCAGAGTTAAACACATTGCTCCCCAGGGGATCTGAGAACTGTTGCGCCCGGAAGCTCTGTTCCCGAAGATGGTGCCCCACAACATCAACTGGGGATACGAACTCCAAAAAGAAAAGAAACGTCCTTCCGCGTGGGACCAAAACAGTGCAAAACTCTCCAAGTCCTGGATCCACTAACCAACCGTACGCCCTCGCGAGCGCACAACCAGTGTTGAGGTTTCTATCCCCAAATATAACCGAGAGGTGGATCTCTCGCCGTGAAGCAATCACCCCTTACCTGGGATTTGGCGGAGAGCACGCCAACATGCCTCACTTGGCCTCACCTCAGCCCATGCAGGTGTGGGCAGCAGGCTCGCCACTCGTCGCGGAACGAGTGTAGAAGAATAAGCCTTCGCAGTTGGACCCGAAAGCCCAAAACATGGTCTCGGTCACCATGCGAGGTATGTATCCCGCGGGGCCAGAGTGCCAGGCGCCCTCAGTGCTAGACTGAGCCAATACCTCCTGTGTCATCTCAACATGGCCGTTATCAAGCCATGCCCCCTTCGTGGTACGTTGTCGTGTGGAAGTTCGTGAGAAATCGTGTGCAGTGAAACATAACGACGCCGGGACATTATGAGGGTGTCAGCCCCTGCACGGCCTTACGGTAAAGGTCGCAGGGCACGAAGTTGCCATACTTAAAGGGGTAGCAAAGCAAAGCTTCGTATGCATCAACACTCGTTCCGTACATCTTTCCTACAATCTCGTATTCATTCTGGCGTTTTCCTTGGATGAGGGCTGTGGGTGGTTTGCACTGTTCATCAAGGCCCTTAGCCTTTGTCTCCACAATGAATTCAGCCCGCAATTCATCCTTTGTATTTTGGAAATGACAGCGTGTGAGGTGGTTCCAGCTTCACCTGTGGCAAGATAGGACAAGTCTTCGTTGTGGAAATCTCCAGCGTAGCATTGGTTGGCATACTGTACGTATTTCATGGACAGCATGGGAAGTATGCCTGCGTAATCCAAAGCACGTGCAAGTGCGGCCGCTGCGCTGTTTTGCCTCACCAGGTGAAAAACCCTTGGCGTTTCCAAAGTTCGAGAAAGTACTTTGTTCTCGGGTCCCCCAGCCTTGGGCATATTCTCGCAAAGGAATCATCTCCTTCCAGCACGATCCTTATCCACAGCCTCTTGCCCTCTATCCCTTTGCAATGGTCCTGTTTGGCATATAGCAAGACCCAGGGATTGATGGACACGGATGCGCTCCATAAAACAAAATTGACCCACCAATTCAAACATGATGTTCCTCTATGGCCTGATCTACGTCTAGCCTTCAACTCCACAAAATAGGTCATCAGCTTTTCTCGGAACACCAAGTTGTACCGAAGGAGACGGGGTGGTTTCGGGGAACCGTCGGGTTTGTTCCCCATCGGTTCAAATCTTATTTTAGCTTTGGTCTTGAACCTTGGGTCCACCTGTTTCAGGACATGGTTAAAGGTGTTCTCAAACCTTTTCTGTGTCCACTTCTTAGAGACGAACTTTGACAGGTGGAACACACTTTCCATTTCTGCATCAATTTGCTCCTTCCTGAAGACGTGATATTTCCTATTTCCCTTGATTCAGGATTTCGCCGATCTTCTGCTTGTCTTCTGTGGTGGCGGCAAAGGGGAAATTTGCTGTCTTCATGTCAGTCCGTCCACGTCCAGCAGCCAGAACATTTTCTATGCAGTTGTCATAGATGACTGGTTCGCCTAATATTGGTCCTGTGGCCAAGCCAACAATCTTAGATGTCCTAACATCAGGCTCGCCAGCAATCCTGCCATAGCATTCGACATGTGCCACTCCTTTGTCATCCTTCACGATGGAGAGCTTGCTTCCCACTACATCGTGCATTTCACTAGGCGCACAGACTGGGTCAACACCAGTGGTGCCGTTAGTCAAACGCACCATGTCAGCCAAATGCTGACTGTGAAACCACTAAATCAGGCAATAAGAAGGGTTTAAGGTTTAGGATTCAGGGTTTAGGGTTTAGGCATAGGGTACCTTTGGGTCGTAGATGTCCTGCACATGCCTGGGCCTCGCCGAAAGACCGAAACAAATCAGAAACGATGCCTGCCGGACATCTGTTCAACATCGACAGCTCAAGAAGACCAGACATGCAAGCGAACAGGAGGATAGTGTCTACACACACACAGAGACTGTACACATGTGTGTGTGTGTGTGTTGTGTGTGTGTGTGTGTGTGTGTGTGTGTGTGTGTGTGTCTGTGTGTGTGTGTGTGAGCGTGTGTGTGTGTGTGCGTTTACAAGCAGGCATGAATCTTCTGGTTAAAAAAACGCGGCTGCATACACGCGCACAGAGCGGTTCTTGAATAGACGCGCCGGTCGATGGTCGGGAAACCTCCAAAAAACTGAGTGAACACAGTTTAGGGTTTAGGGTGTTTAAGGCTGTTAGGGTTCCGGGTTTCCGGTTGTAGGGTTTGGGGCTTTAAGGCTTCAGGGTTTTAGGGTTTCTTTTAAGGTTTTAGTGCTTCAAGGTTTAGGTTTTTGGGCTTAGGGCCCTCTCTCCATCCAGGAGGGTTCCCTGAATCCGAAACCCAAACCCGAATCCGAAGTCTCGATACTACTGTTGATGATATAAATCCTGCATTACCCATAGTAAGGAATATACCACAATTCCCGTAGTTTAGGGTCCTTAAGGTAAGGCAGGATTTATATCATCAACCGTAAATCTTAAACACTACAGTACCCGCCTCGACCCCGCCGAACGCCAGAAAGCCACACTGCGAACGAAGCTCTCGTCGTTGAATGCCTGCCGCAGCAGATGTTCGAAGCGCTCGTCACTGCCCTGATCGTGCACCACATTACCTTAGGGGCTGAGTACCCTAGCCCAAGAAAGGTTAACCTTTTGAATTATAGCAGGGTCATATAAGCCCCAAAAGGTTAAAGGTTACCTACTCAGCCCCTGGGTTACCCTCAATCCTAGCGTTAGATTGTCTGGCAGATGGAACTGTCTGGTGTGAGGCTATGTCAATTGCTTTGGCTTTACAAAAAGCCCACAGTGGCGGGGAAAGGCTAGCAGTGAATCAGGATTTTGTGTGCCATGGCTTTCGTCGGGTTCGCAATCCAACAACACGGGGCATTCCTGGACACCTACACCATATAGTATCCACCCGGCAGAGCATCGTGAAGGAAAGAGCTTCGGGAATGTCTATGCCACAACGCTTTCTTATCAGGGTTTCCGTCCATGGGGTAGGCGTTGGTTTAGGTCTTCATGCACACACTCTTTGGCTTCACGGCTCAGACATGCCCGCACTGAAGGTGAGTCATCAGATGAACATGACGTACTTGAGGTTCCACGAATGGCTCTGTTGGTCAAGCCTGGAGTGGCAAATTCAACCCCCCACTTCAGCTGCTTCTTGCCGGGCGCGAGCCGCTTCTTGCAAACAGCTTCGCGAATGTCCCGGCTCATCAATACCCTTGAGTGCTATTTGACGGTTTCGGGTTTAAGGTTCCAACCTCCAGAAAACGAGGAGCTCTGATAAAGGCCCTCTGTTGTCGGATCCTTAGCCACCCTTCAGAAGAAGCCCCAGATGTGCCAAGCAGTGCCTATGAGGCGACTTAAAATACTGGCAGGATCGCCCGGAGCCGCAACCCTCAACAAACAGGGTTAAGGGTTTAGGGTTTAGGGTTTAGGGTTTAGTTCGACTGTTGTTTTTCCTGAGTGCCTTTTTCGAGGTTCACAAGTTAGGCCCTGAGGGCTTAGGGTTTCAGAGTGTAGTGCTTTAGGGTTTAGGGTTTAGGGTTTCAGAGTGTAGTGCTAGGGTTTACGGTTTAGGGTTTAGGGTTTAGTGCTTTAGGGTTTAGGGTTCAGGGTTTAGGGTTCAGGGTTTAGGGTTTAGAGACTTCCCTCGGTTCGTTGGCGTCCCTCGGTTCGCAGGCGAGCGCGACCCCACCTTCATCGATGCGCTGGTGGCGGCCATGTCCAGTGCCAGCCTTGGGGCTGCACGATTTAAGATCAGATTGTGGGATTCAGAGTTGAGGATTTGGGGCTTGGGCTCACGATCTAGGGTCTAGTCCAGGGTTTGACTATACTGAACTTAGACCCCTAGCACAAAAATTATAATTTTAGCTGCTTCTGAAGGTTTATAGTAGCCAAAGATTAAAAATTATTTCTAAGTGCCCCTAAGTTGAGGTTGAGGGTTTGGGGCTTGGAATTTATGGCTTCGAGTTTAATTTAGGGTTCAGAGGTTAAGTCACGGTTTAGGGTTTAGGGTTTAGGGTTTAGGGTTTGGAGCACCTGCAACCGCAATGACAGCAACATCTCGAAAATCTTGCTAGGGTCCTAGGCTGACATGCAAGGCAGATTTTTTTGGCTTCTGGCGTCCATGCCCTAAACCCTAAACCCTAAACCCTAAACCCTAAACCCAAAACCCTAGACCCTAAACCCTAAACCCTAAACCCTAAACCCACAACACACGACATAACACCCACGTTTGTGAATCGACTGCACCGGGAAGCAGAAGCTTCAAGCTTCCCCCAGAGAGCCCAATACCCCTTAACTGAGGAATCGAGCTCAAATCATAATATTAAGCTCCTTATAATTTAAGGTCTATTCCTTAAATCATAATATTAAGCTCCTTATAATTTAAAGTATATTCCTTAAATCATCATATTAAGCTCCTTATCATGTAAGGTCTGTTCCTTAATTAAGGGGTCTTGGGCTCTCTGGTCGCGGTCTTCGGGGCTGAAGAGCCGTTGGCGCTTCGGCCTTTTACGGCGAAACCTCCTCAGATCCCTAACGGTTTTTTTTTAGAGCCTTTTTCCACCTCGCCAGTCACGGTTTAGGGTTTGGGGTTTAGGGTTTAGGGTTTAGGGTTTAGGGTTTAGGGTTTAGGGTTTAGGGTTTAGGGTAGCCCGAGAGCCCTCAGCCGTGAAGCAACCAAACCCTCTCGAGCCCTGAACCCGAAGTACGGTTGATGATATGAATCCTGCATCACCCAGAATAAGGGAATATACCATAATTCTCATAGCTTAGGGTCCTTAGGCAAGGCAGAAATTATATCATAAGCAGTATACTGCTGAAACCTAAAGCCTAAACCTTAAACCCTAAACCCTAGACTCCTGAACCCTAAACCCTAAACCTAAACCCCTAAACCCTAAACCCTAAACTATATCACTCTGGACTTGAAGTTCGTGCCAAGGCGCAGCTGCTGCAGAAGGTCAGGTATGCTGTCAAAGCCTTGGCGGTAAGCTTAGGGGGGTTTAGGGTTTAGGGTTTCGGGTTTAGGGTTTAGGGTTTAGGGTTTTAGGGGTTAGGGTTTAGGGGTTAGGGTTCAGGGTTTAGGGTTTAGGGTCGGCTTCTTTGCCCAGAGACCCCAAAATCGTTCCATGAAGAAATATAGGGGCCTTCATAATTAGAATAGGATTTTGGGGTTCCTTTATAAGGGTTCTATAAGCGCTACTGTAGGGTTTAGGGTTTAGGGTTTAGGGCCTGAATAATTAGAATAGGGTTTTGGGGTATACTATAATTATAACAAGGAACCCCCAAAATAGTATTGGTGATGACTTAGGCGCCTATATTGAACCAAACTAAGGATCCCCTGGTACTAAAAGGTACAGTCCTTCATGAAAGGGTTTAAGAATTTTCAGGTGTTTGATGTTTCTTATAGGATTTAGAGGGTTCTATATGGCTTCATAGTGGCTTGCAAAGAACATTGTTCCTTCGACGGAATCCGAATTAAGTGGGATGCTGCCGTCCCTTAGCCGCACAACATCAGAGACATGAAGAATCCAACCCCGAAACCTATCAGGGTTTAGGGCTTAGGGTGAACTTAAGCAGTTTCTGCCTTTCTGCTGTCATATCCATGATGGAAGGCATGGCAATAATCATCGTGTAAGTTCCTTCTTCCTCTGTTCAGACTCTGTCTCAAGCAGCATTCTACCTAAACCCTAAACCCTAAACCCTAAACCCCCTAAATCGTTCCGTCCAACGGGCCGGTTGCAGGATCGCCTTCCAGCCTTTTACGGCCAAGAAGCGATGGATGTGTGGGAACTGCGAGAACGAGGTGTACCTCGATGCGGCTTGAGCTTCATTTCAAGGGGCCGAATAACAATAACAGTGGTTATCAACCCTGCACCGTCAACCCCAAAACCCCAAACCCTAAACCCTAAACCCCTAAACCCCAAACCTTATGGCGAATGTGAGCATTTCACCCTCTGGTTCCCTCGTGAAAAAAGATTTCAAAAACTCGAGTCTAACCACTTGGGCCTCTACATGGGGGTTTCGGAAAATAGGGGACCCTAATATAGTACCCCCAAATAGTAGGATCCTTGTTATAAGGACCCCAAAACAAGGTACCCCTTATTTTCGGAAACTCCCACATGTGCGCGCTCCGGGCTTAGGATTTCCGCTGTTCAGAGCAGGGATTCTTTGTATCTCCATGAAGCTGCAAGTATATAAGCCTCGGAAAAGTTCATGTGCGGGCTTGCAAAAAACTAAAAATAATAAGCAGAAGACATGAAGAAGAAGAATACTACTAATAATAATAATGAAAATAACAACAATAACTGAAATAACAACAACAATAATATGTATAATCACAAGGAAGAACCCCAGGGGATTCAAATTCGCGATATTATCTTGGCTGACACCCCCCTTTTTAAAAGTTAAACTTTTCGCCTACTTATTATAGTTCGTATAGAAACCCAAACAAGTTAAAGTCCGAAGAGCCAACCAGAAGAACGCTATGTTATGAGAACTTCAGGGGATTAATATTGAACCCTAAACCCTAAACCCTAAATCCTAAACCCTAAACCCTAAACCCAAGCAGAAGAACGCCAAGTTAGGGTCGAAGGCTGCTCGGCTTCGCAACAGCGCCGTGCAAGCGCACGACGCGGGCGCTTGTAAGCTGGGGCTTATAGTGTTGAGGGTTCAGGTTTTGGGGTTGAGGGTTTAGGGTTTAGGGGTTTGGGGTCTTGGGGTTTAGGGTTTAGGGTTTAGCGTTTAGGGGAGGTTTTGCGCTTACAGCCCAAAGCTGGGAAGACTGAACTCCTGTTTCTCAGCTTCGAACTGGTACCAGTACCTTCGCGAGTCCAACGCCGCGAAGGCAAACGGAGGATGCGGATGCCTCATCCAAAGGCTGAGCGACTGAAAGGTTGTAGGGTTTAGGGTTTAGAGTTTAGGGTGTGTGGGTGAAGTGCCTTTGAGGTGCATCACGTCTGCAAGCCTGTAAGCAGTAGTTCTAACCCTAAACCCTAAACCCTAAACCCTAAACCCTAAACCCTAAACCCTAAAAGTAGTTCTGAAGGATTTCCGCTAGCAGCAGATGGTCGCTGAGGCGCAACTGAAACTGCAAGAGAAGCCTTGGGAGGGTTTAGGCTTTAGGGTTTCAGGGTTGAGGGTTTAGGGTTTAGGGTTTAGGGCTTAGGGCTTAGGGTTTAGGGCTTAGGGCTTAAGGTTTAGGGTTTAGGGTTTAGGGTTTCAGGGTTGAGGGTTTAAGGTTTAGGGATCGTTTGCACTTACCGTTCCGCAGCTATAGCTGGCAAGGCCTCAGGCTCCGATGTAGGAACCTGATTACGAACCAATGGTCCGATAACACCAGCATATGGGTAGTTCTCTAAATTAGGGGTCCCGTTTAGGGTTCTTTGTATAAGGGTGCTGTACTATCTTGGGGACCTAAAAAAGGGACCCTCATGTAGAGAACTACACATACTAGGATCCATATAAAGAGCCCGAATATATAGAGACCCAAAGTTGCTCAATCACCCTAAACCCTAAACCGGTTTAGGGTTTAGGGTTCAGGGTTTAGGGTTTAGGGTTTAGGGTTTCCTATTTGGCACTTTCTCCACTTAGGCTTCCTCGGGATCTTGAGCTCAAAGTCTACATAGTGTGTTTGGGGCTTAGGGGTCTAGCGTTTCGGGATTTATGGTTTAGGGTTTAGGCTTTACGGCTCTGGGGTTTAGAGTTTAGGGTTTCGGGATTTATGGTTTAGGGTTTCGGGTTTCGGGTGGGTGCGTTTCTTGTTGAAGCCAACCCAACACAATTCCAATTGACAGCATGCGTTCTTCTAAATGAACCCTAACCCTAAACCCTAAACCCTAAACCCAATGTACTTCTGACCCCCCATGGTTCCCTCCAATAAACCCTCAAGTACAGACGACAAACACGGTATTTCAGGGGCCTTTGTAACTAGAATGGTGTTTTGAGGAAAGTTACACTGCAAATATAAGCAGGAAATTCAAGATAGTATTGGTAACTATGTAGTCCCCTATAGTACACCCCTAAACCCTAAACCCTAAACCCTAAACTCTAAACCCTAAACCCTAAACCCTAAACCCTAAACCCCAACCCTAAACCCTTAGCATCTTAAGTTCTGAAGAGAAGGAGCTGCCTGCGCCCCTCTTGTCGATAGGAGGACCGGCCTCACCAACGCATCGCATCCCAGCTCAAGATCGCAGCCGGGGCTCACCTGTTAGAGTCTAGGGTTTAGGCTTTAGGGTTTAGGCTTTAGGGTTTAGGGTTTAGGGTTTAGGGTCTAGGGTTTAGGCTTTAGGGTTTACGGCTTAGGATGTAGGAGAGCTTAGGGTTTAGGGTAGCATCCGA